AAAAAAAAAAACTCACTTGCCAACTATGAAGATTAATATGATAAAGTTTTTCCCACTGCTAATTAAAATTTTTTATGAAAGTAGTCACCAGAATGCTTTCATTATCTTGTATACCCTCAGTGGATAAAATTATAAGACAAGTCCTTATCTAAACAGAGTCCCAAATATGCAGACAATACCGTCAGCACAGTGAGTATGTGAGCCAGTTGCTCACAAAAGTAATTTTCTTCTTCCGAAAATCTGAAAAAAACATGATGCCATTGTAGTAATTCTTGTCTAAGGGAGTGAAATAAAGAGTTGAAGACAGTAACTTAAACCCCTAAGAAATGTTCTGGCTGGCTAGCCTCGGTTTCAATCTTCTTACTTAGGAGTAAGGACATCTGACACAAAAGCACAGTTATAAAAATAAACAAAAATAAATAAATAAAAATAAACAGTAAAGGTAAATGATGCATTTTATCAACAAAGTACAGGCAAAAAAATCTTCATACTATCTTTGTAACTCAGAACAGAAGCAATTTTAAGTATTTTTAAAAATCCAGTGTGTTTCAAAAAACTTTTTGTTCGACTTAAAAGGATTAGAGTAATTTCTTCAGAAGAAACCGATCATTCAAAAAAAATTAAAAAAATAAAAATAAAAAAAGAAACCGATCATTCTATATATGAAAAGTTGAATATAAGTTCCTAACATAAAATGCTAAGTGTTACATCACAAAATCTGGTAGATGAATGTCTCACGTAATCCTCATTATTTACCTCAGCAACTTCAGTGATGAGCACCCCGACTCCAGTGTAGTAAAATGGCAACAGAATTACAGGGAGGAGAACAAGAGCTAAAATGCCAAGGAGTGCAAGGACAAAATTATGCCATATACCTGAAAAGAGAGGAAAAAAAAAGAAATAAGCTTAACTGGGGCAGGAATGATCTAGGTATCTGGACTTATAACACCTGGGCATTCGGATAAGTTAGTAAAGTAACCAGAAGAAGCTGTGAAGCATATAGATCTACTTATTAGTACAGAGGAAAGATGTTCAGTTAGAGGCCTCTTCCATTTCAGATACTGAAATGTAAAATGAGCATGTTAATACCACATTAAGACCATAAATCATATACTAATATGATTTAACACTAATGGAATCTATATGTTACAACATATATATATGAAACAGAATTAATATTTTCTACTTGCTTTATCCTCATTTCAGAAAATGTATACATTATTAATTGAAGCATATTTGTGATTTTTGAAAAAAATTTCAACGCTATTCAAATAAAAGTTAAGATGAAATAAAAAACATTCTTGCTGAGCTGCGTTATGGAAATCCAAATGGTCCTTGGAAAAAGAGAGTGTTTTAGGAATTAAACTATTATGGAGAGTGATATTGATGGACCAAACAGAGTATTTTGCTCCATGTCACAGACTACAACCATCTCTATCAAATATACAGAGATTGTTTTTCTTCTTCCTCTTTTTTTTTTTTTTAATACAGAGATGGTTGTGAACTCAGTGGTGTGCTGGAGGCTGGTCCTACAACCTTGCCACAGCTGTGTACATCTCTTCCTAATTCCTCCTTCAGGGACTCCCCTCAGAGAGGCAACCAAGGAATGGTCCCTATACCCCACTCTCAGTGCTTGAGAACCAATGTTTTATAAGGACAACCAATGTTTTATAACGACAGAAACATAACCTAAAGACATCTCCCAAACTTACAGGAAGCTGAGTATGGTCATATGACTGCTTTGGCTAGCAGGATATGAGTGGAGGTAATAGGGATATAATTGTCTTCATTGCTGGAATGTAGCTATGATGGAGATAAACCTGAGTCCATGACATAGAAGCTGCATGTTAGGAACAGTAGAGCTAACAAGACAGAGTTTGGGTCCCCCAAATAATACAATTATCAGTGCTGAACTACTTACATTTGGAATGTTTTATGAGAGTTTAAGCCATTGCTGTTTTTAGCTATTATGGTAGTCAGATATCTAAATAAGACGTGTTTCATGTACATTATTCACATTGTTAAGACATTCTTCCTTTTTTTTTTGAGTGCTGTAACTTATTTAATTCTGGAAATATCCAGAGCAAGTCTAGTCCAGGACACAATGGGTAAACAATCTATTCTATATAGAGAAATCTTTTTAATATACCAGTGGAAAAAAAATATACCAGTGGTATCAAACTCTTTATTGGAAACTATATTTTGCTTTTCCATGTATGTACTTTGGATTTTTCTCTCATTTGAATATTCCTATCTATCCAATTTCTTATATCCACGACTTTATTTTCTTATATACATTACTTTACTAATTTATCAGAATGCCCAGTTCTTATAACGATTAGAGTAATCCACTTTAAAAAACATACTGACTTATTTATAGGGTTCCCTACTAATGAGCCTGTTTTAACTTTTTCATACAATTCTGACAACTTTGCTCACATCATATATATCTAGTTAAGTCTGCATCTGTGAGGGTATGGAAGATTACATACAAACCGAATTGTTGGGTCAAAAAAATGTGCATTAAAATTGACCTCCAGGGGTGCCTGGGTGGCTCAGTCAGTTGAGTGCCTGCCTTTGGCTCAGGTCCATCCCTGGGACAGGGCCCCAGTCAGGCCCCCTGCTCAGCGGGGAGCCTGCTTCTCCCTTTCTTCCCTGCTCGTGCTCTCTTGCTCTCAAATAAAATCTTAAAAAAAATTAATCTCCAATGAGTCTGCATTAATTTGTTTTTATAATTGGCATAGGTTTCCTTACCCTGTAAATAACACTGGATACTATAACATTAGATTTTGCCATCTGCTAGGTTAAAGGTAAGATCTGTTGAGATTTAAGTACAAGCTTGTACATTTTTCATGTTTATTTTTTTAAAGATTTATTTATTCATGAGAGACAGAGAGAGAGAGAGAGAGAGAGAGAGAGAGAGAGGCAGAGACACAGGCAGAGGGAGAAGCAGGCTCCATGCAGGGAGCCTGACGCAGGACTCGATCCCAGGTCTCCAGGATCAGGCCCTGGGCTGAAGGCAGGGCTAAACCGCTGAGCACCCGGCTGCCCCATTTTTCATGTTTATTAAAAGACTATTTGTATTTGTTGTTTGAGAACTATTTCTATCCATTGCCTGTTTACATTTTTTTTTACTAATTTGTATATATTATTTTTGAATGTATATATTAACTTGGTCCTTTGTAAGAGGTATTACAATTTTTTTCCAGTTTGTTTTTTGGTTTGGTTTTACCTATGCAGACACCTTACATTTTGGTGTGGTCAAATTGTTCCTTTGCATTAAGCCTTTTCCAGTTCAAGATTATAGAAGGCACTCATCTGGTGTTTTCTTATATTGCTTCCATAGCTTGATTTAAAAAACAAAATTAAAACAAAAACTTTCTTTTGCCTACTGGAATTTACTCTAGTAAAACTAATTTAGTGGTAGAGTATAACCCTCCCCAACCCAAATTGCTAGTCTCGGTACAATTTCACAAAATAATCCATCCCCAATGTTGATTAGATTTACCGCTGTTGCCATGTGTTAAATTCAACTTTTCCCCCAGCTCCTCAGGATGGCAGTCCATGGGAGACTGCCATGAGGAGAACTGCACTCTCACCATTTCTCCCTTATTAGGATAATCCCACCACACAACCATAGCAAAGACTCTATTGTTTTCTCATCCAGAGTCAGAAGGGTAATAGAGCAGCACTGCTTTCTGGACTCTGCACAGCTTCTTGTCTCGTTAGGGACGCAGCTGGCACAATATTACCCCTCTAGATTCCATATTTGCCCTTGATGGCCAAGTGGCAATAGAACATACACAGTTCCTTTATTTAAAAAAATCCCTTGTCCGTTAATGATCTATTTATAAGTATACCAAAGGAATCTTTGTTATAACTTTTACTTTTTCTAAAGCAGGGTTTTTGTTGTTGTTGTTGTTTGTTTGTTTTTAACAGTGGCACTACTGGCATTTTAGGCCACTAATTCTCTGTTGTGGGGAACTATATTGTGCAAATAGGTTGTTCAGCAGCGTCCCTAGCCTCTACCCACCAGAAGCCAGTAGCAACTTCCTCGTTTTCTCTTTTTTCTAGCTATGGTATTTATATAGGCAAGCTTTTTCCTTCTTCAGAAGAGGTATTTTATTTTTGCTTTTTCTATTACACAAGATATACATATCAAGTATTTTTGAAAAAAGTCAAGATACACAATATATTCTATAACTGAGCACCACTCTCTAACTGAATATTCAAAGAAATTATACTAAACAATAGCACCTGACAGTACTTTTGGGAAATAAAATGACTAAAACAGATTTAAATTGTCTTATACTATTAAATCACATCTAATATTCAATACTATGGAAATCAATTCAGTTAAAAGGTAGTTAGGAAAAAATGTGTTAACATTAAAGAATACAACCAAAATTAATACAGCCAACAAAATCTATATAACTTTATAAACAGGAAAATACTTTGCGCACATATATAGCTGTTCATTCTTTTAAAGAAAATCTACCCAAAAAATAAAGAAAATCTATCACAAGCAAAATTACTAACCTTTAGAAAAAACACAGAATTACTAAACCTATTCCTAAAAGTATAATTATGAACATTTGGAAAATATAGAACTTTAAAAATTTGTAAGCAATACATGAAACTTCGTATTTTAAAAAAATGTGAAAAGAAGTCCCATTTTTAGAACAGTTGTATAAAGAACTGTCTTTTGATGTGAGATTCATAAATTATCCTCCTGTTGGGACCAAACTTTATAAAAACACCATGTATTTCAAGCAGCATTACAGAACAAGATTTAATATCTTAATGTTATCTTATATAAATGAATACTTTTTTTTTTACTTTTTACTTTCATTTTTACTACTCTTATCAAAACATGACCCTTAGATATATAGGTATCATTAAAAAAACTATTTCCTAGAAGCAATACACAAGAGAGGTATATTTATTTCCAATCGCATTCCTATTAGGCACTTCCCAAGTTTGAGAAGGGTCTTCTCTTCTTACTGGCTGTTTTTGTTCTTTGCATGTGTTAAGATATGAGACTTCAGGTTGGTTGACTGAGCGAACTTCTTATTGCAGGCATCAAAGGGGCAAATGTAGGGCCTGTCTCCGGTATGGATTCGCACATGTGTACGCAAATTGAAGTCGAGGGAAAAGCATTTTCCGCAGCCTTCAAATGTGCACTGAAAGGGCTTCTCTCCAGTATGCACCAGCTGATGTCGTTTTAGTTTCGAGCTCTCGACAAAAGCTTTGCCACATTCTGCACATACGTGGACTCTAGGACCGTGGGTGTGCAGATGTTTCCGCATAGCAGAATTATCTTTGAACATCTTCACACAGCCTTTATGAGGGCAAGCTATTGTTCTTAGAGCAGCTTCTTTGGGTTTTGGCTTCATTCTAGTAAATTCTGCCAGTTGTTTAGGATCTGAGAGATCAATACCAGGTATTCCTTCGGGAGGAAGCTTCTTTCCGGTCATGTACTCTGAATAATCAGGAGTGGAGTCCTCAATCTGTCCGGTCTCGTGGTCTCTTTTCTCGCTTGGGGACCACAGGGTAACGGAGAACTCGCCCTCCAGGGTTTTGATCTGCACCTGCTTCTGCTCCCATTTCTTGCAGTCCATCTCGGAGCTGCTGCTTGCAGCCTGGTTCTCACCGGCGGTGTGATTTTTCTTACTGCTGGCCTTCCTGTGTTGGCCGCCGCGCTTTTTGCTGCGGCTGTAGGTTGATGACGTTGCGGAAGCTGACAAGCCAGCCAGGGTCTGCTGGAAGCCGTCGTCTTCATCAACCGGGAAGACCATCTGGTCCTCGAAATTGTTGGTGGCCTGCAGGTTTTCTGACTCGTAGTAGCCCACCACTTCCTCCTGTGTCTGCACCATGATTAGTTCCTGGTCATGATCCCCTTGGTTCGGGTTGTTGGTAACAAGCGGCTGCAGTGCAATCAGAGGCGGATGGTGGTGGCCACCGTGGAACCAACTGCCGCTGATAATCTCGTACTCGGTGATGCTTTCCATCGCCATTCCCTCCACAGGGATGCTCTCCACAGGGATGCTCTCCACAGGGATGCTCTCCACAGGAATGCTCTCCACAGGGATGCTCTCCAAAGGAATGCTCTCCACAGGGATGCTCTCCACAGGGATGCTCTCCAAAGGAATGCTCTCCACAGGAATGCTCTCCACAGGGATGCTCTCCAAAGGAATGCTCTCCACAGGGATGCTCTCCACAGGGATGCTCTCCACAGGAATGCTCTCCACAGGAATGCTCTCCACAGGAATGCTCTCCACAGGGATGCTCTCCACAGGGACGGTCTCCACAGGAATAGCGTCCATGGGGACGGCCTCCAAGGGCATGGCCTCCAAGGGCATGGCCTCCAAGGGGATGCCGTCCAACGGGATGCCGTCCAACGGGATGCCGTCCAAGGTGACGCCGTCCAAGGAGATGCCGTCTAAGGGGATGCCATCCAAGGGGACGCCCGCCATGGGGACGCCGTCCAAGGGGACGCCCGCCATGGGGACAATCGCCCCTGGGGCAGTCTCCACATGGATCTGGTGCAGCTCCACAAGATCGGTAAGCATCTCCAAATTTTCTGTGGGGATGTAGAGAGCGTCGTTTGAGGCCATGGCTGAGAGCTCCAGAGGCTTTGGCTCCTCGGCAGCTGGTGGGCGGCTGGCAGGCTGCAGAAAAGGCTGAGAAAGGCGAGCGCTCCAGAGGAAACTGCGAGCACCAGAGACCGGTCTGCACACTTCAGCAGCAAGACGCGGAAAAGGCGGAGGACGCAGCGTAGCCGGAGGACGCCGAGGACGCGGAGGACGCCGAGGACGCCGAGGGCACGGAAGATGCGGGTGCTTCTGGGAGCGCCTGGCGCATGCGCTTCTCAGTGCCTCACCAAGTACGCGCTTACGTTCACATCCACGTACTCGTGGATGCTCCAGCCTTCGTGCACACGTCACCCGCTCCTCCTCGCTCCGAACACCACGGTATTGTTTTTTGAATATTAATTCGGTGGTCACGTTCTTCACAGAATTTTACTATATTTCCATTCATGTTCTCGTTTCCCGTGTTCCACCAAGGGAACCAAAGTGGCACAAGGTTTATGACTCTGGAAACACGGCTTACTCCTAGTATTTTTGCTTCCTTCTTCCCTCGTACTGTACGGACCCACATTTAGAGACCATTTAATAGTATCAGTGATAAGTTGGTAATGGGATTGCTTGCCTCGTCCTTTAACAAGGATGCTTGTTGGTGTCATGCCACTAGGAAGCGTCCAGCTATTTTTTTTAATTTACTTATGATAGTCACAGAGAGAGAGAGAGAGGCAGAGACACAGGCAGAGGGAGAAGCAGGCTCCATGCACCGGGAGCCCGACGTGGGATTCGATCCCGGGTCTGCAGGATCGCGCCCTGGGCCAAAGGCAGGTGCCAAACCGCTGCGCCACCCAGGGATCCCTGCTATTTTTACTTCTACTAAGGATATATATATATATATATTTTTGCCATTAATGGATGTTGAATTTTGTTAAATACCCAGTCGGGTAACTGCTGAGGTGAGGATTTCTTCCCCTAATGGTAAATGGTGTTTACCACTTTCAAACAGATTTCGTATTGTTGAACCATCTTTGCATTAATTAAATATATCATACGTAGAGTTTTTGGTACTTTATAAGATGTTGTATCAGTGTTAAATTAGCTTAATAATTAAAAAAAAATTCCTTCTCCATGCGATCTATAAAGTTTATGCTAAACTGGAATTAAAAAAAAAAAAAAAAAAAAAAACCTGGGCAGCCTGGGTGGCTCAGCGGTTTAGCGCCGCCTTCAGCCCAGAGCGTGATCCTGGAGTCCTGGGATCGAGTCCCGCGTCGGGCTCCCTGCATGGGGCCTGCTTCTCCCTCTGCCTGTGTCTCTGCCTCTCTCTCTCTCTCTCTCTCTGTCTCTCTTTCTCTCTCTCTGTATCTCTCATGAATAAATAAAATCCTAAAAAAAATAAATAAAAAAAACCTTTTCCTTCAAGATTGGGAAGAATTATACCTATGAAACTTTCAGGGGCATTCTTCTTCAACTTTCTTCATTTCTCCCATTGTAATTAGCCTATTGAGATTTTTAAAAAATCTTCTCTGGAGTTTAGGCCATTTATATTTTTAAATAATTATCTAAGTTTTTGAAAAAATTTTGCAGAGATGAACAAAGAACACTTTTATAATTGTTTTGATTTTCTCTGTATCAGTTGTTATTCCACAATCTGACTGCATATTGTCTGTAGTTGCTTTTTGCCATGTATAAAAAGAAGCCTCTTAAGACCTTTTCTTTTTCCTACTTTTTTACTTACATCTTTATTATATCATTTGTTAACTATTTTATAGTTTTCTCACTTCAGTTGAATGCTTAACTGACTTATTTTCATTTATTTCATAACTGCAGTAAATTTTCCTTTTAGCAAAACTTTACAACTTATTTCATTGTCATTTTTATTTTTTTTATTAAGATTTTATTTACTCATGAGAGACACACAGAGAGAGAGAGGCAGAGACACAGGCAGAGGGAGAAGCAGGTTTCAGGCAGGGAGCCCGACATGGGACTGGATCCCGGGTCTCCAGGATCAGGCCCTGGGCTGAAAGTGGCGCTAAACCGCTGAGCCACCCGGGCTGCCTCTCATTATCATTTTTAAATATACCACAATTAGGTTTTGATTTAAATTGGTCAATTTTTGTGTTTCACAGTCATTGAAAAGACATTGTCATGATATAGAGTTTGACATATTTATTGAATTTTCCTTTACTACTTAAGAGTTTTGATCATCTGACTTTTCATACTTACCTGCCATGTATTGAGAAATGAGATCAGCTTCCTTTATTATATTTTCGGTTTTTCCTTGCACTTTTCCCATTTTTGTTTTGATGGTTTGTTACTTGATGTAGTGAGTTTACAATGATTACACTGTCATTGTGGATTACATTCCTTATGATTATTAAGTGACCCCTTATGTCTAAGTAACTTAATGTAGTCATATTTTCTGTTCACATTTACATGGTATGTCCTGTTCATTTTACTTTCAGTCTTTTAAAAATTGTTGTTTTTGAAGAAACTGGAATGTGAATTATTTTGCTTTATTACTTAAAAAAAAAAAAACACTTAAGTAATCTCTACACCCAACATGACCCTGAGCTCAAGAGGCACATGCTTCCTCAGACTGAGCCAGCCCAAAGCCCCTTGCTTTATTACTTTTAACTGAGAATCTTATAAACTGAATTTATCAACTAAAAGATGAGACATTTTCATTTGTGATGTGACTACTTTCCATAACAATATGCGCAGGAATAAAGAAATTTAAGTCTGTTACCTGCACAGAATATCCTTAGCTGCTGGACTGGTGATATAAGTTGCAAATGAGTGGTGAACAGATCAACAAATGCTCCAGGATAAATAATGAAGAGAAAAATCCCAAAGCCATTAAATCGAACTTGTTCCCTAAGAAATCACAAAAGAAAAAGGAATTAACAACCAGTATTGCATTTTTCAAATTAATGTATTTAATCTTAAAACTTCCTGCTGTAATTTAAATTCTTGCTTAACAGGTGTCTCTGGACAGTCAAGAAAAATAAACTCATATATGGTAGTTATCTCTCCATAATTTTACAGTAGTGTACAGGTTTGGTTATCTGTGAAATTGCATAAAACAAGGGCATTCTGAAATAGGCTGAAAACTTCAAAACTTTTAGAAACCAATATGCTGAGCAATAACTTGAAATTAGTCATATATAAAGAAATAGTTAATATTTCCATGAGAAGGTAAATGAAAGATTTTATGGTTTACTCTGAATTATTTTCAGAGGACACAATGGAAAATATAATTCAAGTAAAGTATCTAAATTTATACTTGTCTTAGCTATTATAAATAAAAGTGGAGTTTTATATAAGTATATTCCTATTGAATTAAGGTTAAAATAAATACACTTAGATACGCATAATGCTCAGATTGTCCTTAAGAAAACTATTTTTTATCAATTCATTCTCTAAAACTTGAATTACACCTAACAGCCTCATAAGACCAAACAACCATACTAAAAAAGCCATCCCCCCAATATATCGTACTGTCATTTAGTAATGAGTATATAAGATGACTGTAAAACTCACTTTCACTTGGCAGTTGGATTTTATAAAAGATTACACTGTTTCATGAATATACATTGAAGTAATAAACTGTTAATAACACTGATTTTATATGCAGAACCCTAAAAGCTGCAATGCCAAAAATATGGAAGCAAAAGTGGGAGATAAAAAGAAAAAGAGGCTGCCCACTTAAACCACTATATGTCACACTTGTGTAACAGTGTATGCTCTGTCAAGATGAGGGTTTACTGGTAGTCAACAGACTCTTGTTCATAAGCAACTGGAAAGTAGTAAGAAGTGATTACATCTTCTTCTATGAAACCTTTCATATGGTACATATACCCAGAGGATAAAACACATTTCCATCAGTATGTGTGTTCATCACTGCAATAATTATCAGTGGGAATGAAGGGGAAATTCTGCTCTCCTATCACAACTTTATAAGTTTAGGAGCCTTTAAAATGCTCAGGTGTAATTACAATGATACATTTGAGTAGTCAAGACAAGAGGAGGGCATACTTGAAGCAAGTTCCAGGTATCATCCTCTCTTATCTTCTACTTGGGTTTCTAGATAGACTATGATATTTGTTAACAAACCCAGAGCTTTCAGTGTTCTTGCTCTAGCCAGCAGAGGCCATAAGTAAAAGCAGAGAAGTATTTCAGCCAGTAAGTCAAACAAAGTACTAAGAAGTCAAGCGAGTGGGCTCCAAGTGCATTCTGACCTAATGATGAATATAAAGATTAGGTTTCAGTGTTTGATGAAAATCTTGAAGAACCATGAAGATACAACCATGCTGTTAAAGGGCAAAGGATAGAAAGACCTAGATTAGAGATGTGCACGTAGTTGAGTATATTCATCAACATATTAATCTTTATAAAAGAGAAGGTACCTCAAAATAATGTGGATATGCACTGGGCAAAATCCATAGAAAGAAAAAATATCAAATGTAGCATATTTTAGTAATAAATCCTCCTAAGTAAAAAGTTTTTACATGTAGTAGAAAGAAAAATATCATTACCTAATAGCTGCTATCCCATGTCCGATTTCATGTACAACACCACTAATGAGAACTGCAGCGAAGAAATAGGTCAGTTGGTTGACAGGTAAATTTATACCAGGAACCTGTTCACAGACACAATGATAAAGACACAGTTGGGCACCAGGAAACCATGATGTTCACTCTGTGTTAAAGCTTAAACTTCCAGGCTGATGGTTCTGTACACTAAAAGTAGGGGTGCCTGGGCGGCTCAGTTGGTTAAGCACCTTACTCTTGATTTTGGCTCGGGTCATCTCAGGGTCATGAGATTGAGCCCTGCTTTAGGCTTAGCGCTCAGCACTGAATCTGCTGGAGTTTCTCTCCCCCACCTTGTGTGCTCTCTCTCACTCTCTCTCTCAAATGAATGAATGAATGAATGAATGAATAAATATTTTAAAGTAAAAGTAATATGAATGAATGGTTCACTTCTCTACTTCTGTCACAATAAAAGTAAGAACATCAGTTTTTTGAACTAGGCAG